AAACAGACGGCCCTGGGAGAGCAAGGACACCAACTGCCCTGACTCTTCTCTAAAAGAAAAGAAGGACAAAACTATGAAAAATCAAGTCATGGGATACTCAGTATAACCAGCAGCAAGGCATTTCTCTTAACACTTCTGAGAGCACAGTGCGTTGGGAAGGCGAGCAACCCTCTTCCTTCTGATGCCTCTGAAAGCAAGGAGAGCAAGCTTCCCTAAGGGGACAGACACCAGGCTTGAGCCCAGGACCTCCACACAAGTTCTAGAAGGTCTGGAGCTAACTTAAGTTGAAGTGGATATAGATTTGTCCCAAAGCATTTTCAGTTATGGGCCTATGTTAATAAGGGTCTACGTTAGTAAGCAGGGCTGACTAGTTGGGATTTATAAGTCAAGAGAGAAAGGAAGTCTAAAAACCAGACTATTATCTCTAGAATGTGGGATTACGGTGTTCTCTCAATTTCTATTTAATAGACATTCCCATGGTTTGGGAAGTTTGGGATTTTGGCTGTTACCTTACTGTAATATTCTCTAAATGCTAAGATGTTAATATGTGGATAATAGTTGGTCAAACTTCTAGGTAGGATTTCGAACATCCTAAATGTCTCTCTCAATCCCGACATGCCCTGAGGCCCAGCTATCTTTTGCGGTTCATTGCCAGGCACGTCTGTGTGGAACACTTAGTAATATTTGTATTTCTAAAAACCTCACTGCAAATCTATGACTTGAGCACATCTTAGTCACTTTACCCTAATTTACCTCCCTAAGTCTCCTTCCTCATCTACAAAGTGGGAATCATAATTACTTCATTGAAGAGGTACAAAAACTAATTTAGACACTATTAATGGAAGGGGAAATTGCTCTCTTATCAGGCCTAGTGCCCAAGGTGGAAGTCTTAACGTGTGTCCTGCTCCCACCCTCTCCTCTTCTTCTCTCTACTAGTGGACATCACTCCCCAAAAGCTCTGGGCAAGATCTAAAGGCAGGAGAGGGTAGGAGAGCATATTCAAAGACCTGTTTTTCTCCTTAAAAAACATTCATTTGAATTTTGGATCCAAAAGATATATGCCTAAAAAATTCATTACCTCTGTTTTAACTATACCAGAGCCTTACAAGGAAAAGATCTTCCCAAGAATCTAAGAGACCACCACTTAACAGTATGTTAGCTGCAAAAATTTCAGACTTTTCTCATGAGTGTAAAGTTTAAATTTGCAAAAGAGAAGCAAATGGGAATAAAGACATTCACAGCAAGCTATTTCATAACTGCTAGTTATCATTTACACATCAAATACATACAGCATTGAGACCAAATGTACAGAATTTCCACATTTATATACAGTAATCAACATAGTGCACAATTCAAATCTATCTTACAATCAAGTGTACAAGTTTAAATATGGCTTTATAAACTACTAACAATAACTGTGCTAAAGTAACTCATAGGTCCAGAAATAAACACTGGAATGCCACCTCCACATTGAGGCCCTTGTTCAGCAAGATGCTATTCATTGTGTTTGCAAAACAGATGGTGTAGGTAAATACTTCCAGGCCGTGTCCACCCATCAGCCCCCAAGCAGCTGAAATGTGGGTTTGAATGATACCAACATCGGTCCTTCCTACCTCAGATATCTGAAAATGAATCTGTGCATCTTCCACACATTTGGAGACATGGGGTTATAAACAAATAGAAGAGAGATATATAATCAGTGAGATGATGGGTACCAGGAAGTATCGGAACATGCTTTTCAGATCGGTACTGAAATTCTCAAGCAATGCATCCCGTCTTTGCATTATTTGTTTCTCCCCCTCCTATGTTTTCTCATTTTGCTTAAATCCATGGACTGTGAAATCTTCCAGAAATTTCCAAAACATTCTAGATCAAGTGGTCCCAAAAAACAGAATTAAAAATAGCTCGTGTAAAGGGGACATCTCTTTCTTCACTATTCTCTTCCCCAGCCAAAAATGCCCGTTTTAAGTAAAAATAAATACACACATACATACATTCCTTGACCTACGATCATGCGCCCATGACTATTTTACAGCCACTTTGCCACAAATGTTACATACACATTCTTTAATCGATTGCAGCCTTCTAGGCACTACCCTTAAATACACCTTGCCCCGTTCCCTAAACTCTATTGAGTACAGGAGAATAGTCTTTGAAAAATTCTATGTTTGCCATGGCTTTTAATGTACATATCAGTACAGCAGTGTGTGCAGTGTGCGTGTGTGTGTGTGTTTACAAATAAATATACTAAAGGGCAAGCTCAGAAAGTTTTACCGTGGGGTGAATGAGCAGAAAGGTTTGGAGACCACTACCTCCATACGGATCATTTGGGGTGTCTCCCTTTAAAAGACATCTATAAAACAAATATACATTACTTTGTACATTTTATATTTATAAAACGGAAACCATATGCCACAAACCCTTTTGAGAAACCAGAAGGAAGCTCCAGAGTCAAAGGAATGGGGTGGCAGCCAGTGCTCCGCTCTCAGCTGCTCCCCTACTTCCCAGGCTTGGCTTCAGGTGGGACAGTCCCGGAGCTTGAGCATATAAATGAAGACAAAGATCAACGTAACTTTAGCACTTCCTGCACTGGTCTTGTATATCCACAAACAGCCCTTCCCCACAGATTGCATGTGTTTTCGACTGATGAGCCTGGATGCTGTACTGTGATACTAAAGCCACTACTGAGACAACTTCTGATGTGCCTGACACATTCTAGCACAGCCGTAGCACAGGGCTGCCTGAAGCCGTCGCATCTGTCACCTCCCACTCCGCGAAATCCTACCACCACCCGATGAAGGATCCAGACCCTCATCTTCCCGACCATCACCACCGTGTGAGTTGTCAGACGCTCTGCATGATGCACATCTCTGGGGAAAACACATGTTTACGATAAGCATGATCCCGTGAGATGGATTACTTGAGGTAATCATTTTGACAGGAGGAACACAAACATGTCGCCCCTACTGAAGCAGAGATGTCTCAAAAATTTGAGCACTGTTTTTAATCTTATTGCTGCAAGAGAAGTCAGATACAATTTGTTTAAAGTAAAAATACAATCATTTGGACATGGTTTGTGTTTGAATAAGCCAAATGGGATCTCTCATCGAGAGACAGAAGCAAATAGGACACAACACTTCCAATTCTGAACAACTGTTAAAGGGAAAAGTCCACAGATTGCTGCTCTGTTTTGTTTTGCTTTTTAAGAGGAGGGTAAATATCCAAAGGATTTCTCTTTCCTAGCCCTCCACTGAACAATTGTATTCTCTCTGCTATCTGTTTAGACACAGCTAATTAACATGGCAATTCAGGAGCTAAATCCTATTGTTTTTAAAGCCATAGGTAATTTTTAAAAACACTAAAGAAAGGAAAAGGTTTAACTATCATTGATAAATGAGTTACTCTATTCCGACCACAAAGTAAAAAAAAAAAGATGCTTGCTACGGGGGGAGGTGAATTAGTCATACTTAGTAATACTACTTTTTATAAAATTAGCCATTATCATAAATATACATTGTTCTACAATTGGTGGATTGTTTCAAAATATTTAAAGCTGCAATTAGAGACAACAACAATTTTTAAAAATCCAAGAAGGCCATCAAGTTCATTGCTGACATTATTTAATTATGTAAGAACACTAAAGTCTCTACCAATCTTTTATTCTAGGTAACTTATCTCTCCCATTAAAATGATCACAGTGTTGGTGCTGGCTAGACCACATTCATAAGTTAGTTTATTATTGCAATGGGCCCCTCTATTTATCTACAAGTTTTACAATTTAGGACAATAATCTTCTTGAAATTTGGGCATCCCACTTTGTCATAATCTAGCCAGCAACGGAAGTTTCAGAGAGCCTTGTTCTGGGGACAGGTCCCCTGCCTTGGCAAGAGCAAGAATGCTTGAGGGGGTCACACTGTCAGCCCCAAGAGAGCTGAGTCACTTTCCTTTAAGCTATTTTTCAGTTTCCTCTGTAACCATCTGTAAAGACAAAGGCCAACATGTTACTCATTCCAGTTATCTTATCCTGAAGGTTAAGGAACCTTAACTATCTTTCAGATATTCTTTGAAGTCAGGGACTAAAAACCCAGGTTTCTGGTAAGGAATTCAAATGAAGAAAACATTCATGATGTGTTTGCATTTACTCCTGGCACTAGCAAGAGCACTCCAGGCAAGTGGGACCTCCTGCCCCACCCACCCAGGGGATCCTTTCAAACTTCGCCAAGTTTCACCCAGTCCACTGGAAGCAACTGAATAAAGGTCAAGCACTCCACAATCATACATAATTGATGGCTGGACCTATTAAAGATGGGTTGCCAGAGTTCAGCATTCAAACTTAGAAGTATTTGTCATCAAATGTACTTTCATCGATTCTTGTTCAACTTAAACAGCACTGCACGTAAAGGAGAGCAAAGGATCTTGGATCATAGTCAGGAGCAATAAAAATAACTTCACCCTGTTAAAAAAAAAAAAAAAAAAAAAAAAAGACAACGACAGAGAAGAACCTGAGTAGTTACCTATCAACAAAGGCACCGTCCTTTTATTGAAAATACACTCAACAATTATCCTATGAATGAATAAATGAATAAATGAATGGATGAATACAGGAAAATGTGATTGTGCAGATCTTTTTCCTATAAGGAACAATCCAGCCTCTTCTCTCCTACCTGAAGCCCACAGCCGCTCAGCCTACCCATGCAGAAGGGGTGGGTTCAAGAGCTGATATGAAGCTCACGTGGCCCTGAATTGATTTTGATAAACCAACTTTTTGGATGGTTTAAAGATAACCGACAAAAACAATAACAATAAAACCTTGTCAGTTTCAAAATGCCAAATCTGTCAAAACAAAGCTATTTTCTCAATTAATGTAAGACAGCTCTTCTTCCTTCCTTCCCTGTCACTCAACACGGACAATAAGAGATTGCTTTTGCACACATGTCCCATACCAATTTTTCTCCTCTCTGAATAGGTCAAAGGCAAGAAAGAATGAACACTAACAACGGTCACTTTTAAAGACTCTTTATACAGAAGGCTTCTTCAACTGGGGTCCGTGAGCCCCCTAAGGAATCCATGGATGATTTCAGGTCTCAAATCTGAACTTATATGTAACATTTTGTATATTTGCGTATATGTATTTTTCTGGTAATAAGGTAGAGGATTTTCATAGGATTATCAGTGGCATCTCTGACATCAATTTAAAACCACTACCTTTTAGTGTGTGTCCTGCTTTTGGGCATACCTTTCCCATGCAGCCATCAGGGAAGGAAATGATGAGTGCTGTGTTTCCAGAGGAAGGGGAGACTATAATGAGCTGGGAAGTCTTCTTGCAGAACTCATGAAGCTGGGCCTTGAGAGGTGGGCATGCGCTGGGCCAGTGGACGGGAAGGGCAGGCATTTCAGGAGAAAGGCTAGCATAAGCAGAGGTGGAGTGGGGACATGAGGCATGTTTAGGCAACGGCAAGCAGACCAACCTGGATGCACTGGATGGCTCACATGGAGGAGCCCTGGCAGACACCCCAGGAAATGAGATGAAGGAAGAGGTGAGAATACCAGGCCCCAGGGAGTGGCCCTCACCCTGAGGCAATATGGCATGCCCTCAGGGCCAGAGCTTTTTAAAAAAATTAATGGTGATGGGTGGAATAGATCAGGGAAATGACCAAGCATTTAAAAGAGGCTATCACAGTAGTCCAAGCAAAAGAGGATGCCCTAAAATTAGGGTGCCATGTCTGTTCTGTTCACCACTCTATATCCAGTGTGGGTCCCAGGGCCAGGCACAGGGTAGGTGCTCAGTAAATATGCAATGAGTGAGCATATGGGAATGGATTCTTAAAAGATAAGTAACAAAGAATAAGGAGTCTTGGTGACTTGGTATCATTCATAGAGCCTAGCAGTGCCTTGCACAGAGTAAATCCTAACGAAAGATCTCTTGAACTGGTCTGGACCCGGCTGAACAGACATGGAGGACAAGAGTGGAAGACTCCAAGCACTCTTCGAGAGAGGCTGGGGATATGCTGGTTCCATGAGCGCGGAGTGATTTCTCAGGGGACGTGGAAAAGGAAACCAAGTCAAAGTGGTGTAATAGCGAAAACCATCTAAGGCAAGGTGAAAGACTTCAGTCCGGGTCCTGCCCTGCAAATGAATGTGCATATGACACGGAGCCAGTAACAACCTCAGAGGCTCTCTTGTAAGGAGCTTTCTACAACTAACCCATGGCCCAGCTATACATTGCTATGATTCTACACTTTCTCTCAGATAATCTAGGCAAGACCCAGGAAGCTAAAATCCCTAGCTCTTCCTTTCCTTGAACTCTATTTCAGGAAAACATATCCTAATACCAAATACCACAGTACACACAGGCAGGGCTCACTGGAGAGCCAGAGTGTAGTTGTGATTCAAGTCCAAGTTGTTCTAAGTCTATGATCAGTCACCTGGGTAGCTCATGGCCGCGGGAGCATCACTGTTCACAATTCATTATGTTACAACAACAAAATGCTATAAACTTATACTGCCCTTATATCTACTCTGTCATATGCAGATTAAATCATACCGTGGCTGCTCCTCAATTCTGATGAGTGGGGATGAGGGGCAAAGGGAGAGGGATAGAGGGGCAGAATTTATTTTTACAATGACAGGTAAAAAAAAGAACAGGTGGCTAGCGGGTCTTCTGCCCAACCAAGAACATCTGTTAACATTCAAGATCACACTTTCCTTAAGTTACTTTCCAGTAAAAAAGAAACACAACTTGAACAAGTAAGCCAGATAACCAAAATGTCCCCTAAGTTCTTGTTATTTTTTCTTATAAGTAGCACCTGTTCACCATACTGGAGAATACTTCAAATCTGGAGAGCTTAAGAATGAAAGATAAAATTAAAATTAAAAAAGATAAAATTAAAGGCCTCCCAATAAAGACTACCCAGGTCATCCACACCACACCGATTCTGTCTTGGTCATTTTGTTTCCATAACCCACGTTGGAAAGGTAAAACCTGGGGATATTATTCCAGGGTTCCAAATCAAGTTACACCTACAAAATGTTGGCTACCCAGTCATGAGCTGTCAGGCTAGTACCCAAGACTCCAAGTGGTAATGTCCATTCAAGCCCCTGTGAGAGGTACCTGGATAGAATCACTTACTTTACAATGAACACCAGCTCTCCATGTACTCATCCTCCAAGCAATGCACGATAAAAAAAATATGGGGCTCTTCACAGTCATAACTTAATCATTCCTGAAGTAAAGATACAACACACCTGGTGCTGTATAGTAAGAATAAATTGTAGGCAAAATTTCAAACACAACTCTTTCCAGCTAAGGGTAGGGACAGGGCAACTCAGTCTTTGTGCGGCTAGGTCTACAGCCCATCCGTTTATTGTATTGAAATTTTCAAGCCCAAAGTTTCCCTAGTCACACAGAACTACCACCAGCTGACCTCGGAACATGCTTGTTTGTTAGGACAGAAGAGGTGAACAGTCCTCCCAAGTGACCCTGGAGATAAAACACGCTCATCCATTCATATCTTCTCCACCACATTTTCATGAGGCACCAAACAGTCCTCTCAAAGATGAATGGTTTTAATAAGCTACTAACAACTGGGTTTCCTGTGCAGTAAGAATTTCTAACTCAGGGCAACTCCGCATTTCCTCCCAGTTACATATGTCCTACACGGTTGCTTCAATGGTAAAGAGCCTCAGCAACTCTCCCCCTTTACCTCTTTGTTGAATCCACAGCATTTTAGGATTGTTTTTGCAAAAGCCATATGCAAAGAGAGTCTTTTTCAAGCATAGTACATGAACTTCTCAGCACACGCTGCGGTCTTTAAAGCAGTGCCTCTCAAGCCCCACAATGAATAGCCATTACCCAGTGAGTCTGTGGTGATCAGGAGTACAGCAGTTCTGCTTGCAGTTGTAAATCTTAACACTGACTCTCCTAGCCCAAATGCATGGCCATCACCCCAGCATCTTCACCCCATATTTCACTGGAAAATGTTCTAAGTCAACAAAAATGATGTCTTCAGAGACAGAGTGCCTTAGTAAATACAGTAACTGCAAGGGTCCATGTGCTCTACGGGGAAGGAGAGGGAGCCCAGGGAGTCTATGGGAGATCCTTAAGAAACATTAAGATTTGTCCTCAGCATTGCCTTCCTTTTACGGGACAATGCCTGAGAACGCCAGAAAAGTTGCATTAGTAAAACTGCATAGAGTCTACACTGCACAAAGTGCTTTGATACCAGTAACATGATCCTCTTCATACTTCATCTTTTCAATACATCTTGCAAGGTTTGTTTTCAAAAAGACATTACAAGCTGGCAAGCGTCTGCTTAGAAAAAGCAGTCAAATCCTTTCCCCTTCACCTCTATGAAACCCATCATATTTCTGAGCTTTACTCCCTTCAGATAAACCACACAGAGGCAACTTAACCCTCGGGAGTCAACAAAGGACAACATTCCAGTGTGCGTTCAGGCAACGAAAGAAAGACTTCTGCAGATACACAGCATTGAAGACTGTTTGGAGCTGTTGATGATCTGTAAAAATATGTTCAAGGTTCTTTCAACAAAAGATTTCAATTCAAGCAAGATCACAGGGAAGAACGAGGACAGAGTCTTAGCTGTGCCTTTGCATGTGTTTCGTCTGCTCGGCTTTTGCGAGTGACTGTGGCTGTTGTTGGCTGGATATGGAATTCCTTTGCCCTCGAATCTTCTTCATACATCGGAAGCACAATCAAGACTAAAATGTTGTGTTTATGTCACAGCTCTTCCAAGAGGTTTAAAGCGCCGAATGTTACCACATGAATCCTCACAACACCCCTGTGAGGTAGGTAGGTGGAGAGTATTGTTAGCCCCACCTTACAGGTGGGGGAAATGAGGCACACAAGAATTAAGGGACTTGCCCAAAATCACACAGCTAGTCACTGGCAGGACTGAGAAGAAAACTTATACTGATTAGCACCTAGCACAGTGCTTTGCACATAGTAGGTGTTCACTGAATATCTATGGATTTTATTTGAATTATCTCAACATACAATATACACACATAAAATACAAGCAGCCACCATAGAACATTTGTCTCCTACATTTCTCCTGATGACTTCGCTCATTACTTCGAACCCACGTGGATGAAGGATGCTCGAGAATCCGTCTCACAACTAAGCCCTCGGGTTGAAGAGGATCTACATAAACACGATCCACAGACAACCTGTTCTTGCATGGGCTCTACCACACAATGTTAGTTTTCTAATGAAAACAAAAATGGATTTCAGGAACCATGCTGACATTTTTTTTTTTTTTTGCCTGTTTGTTTTAAATGGAGCCATCTGAATGGTTCTGTGTTTTGTTTGTACAAAAGGAAATAAGGCTGCTAGAGTCCAGTTAGCTTGTGAGAAGTGTGCCAAGCACGAAGATTTCCTCCCAGCTGAGATGGATTTCTACCTGGGAAATTGGACCAAGCCCAGGGTGTGGCAGCTCCGGCAGAAGAGGGTCAGCGAGGCCGAACATCACTTGCACTGTTCGTGGTCTGTGTAGTCATCCATGTCCACGTCAGAATCAAAGAGCGAGTGTCCAGTGAAATCCGTATCTGGGGTTCTGGAAAAACTGTTCTCTGCTCCCTCATCTTCAAAGGTCTCTGTCCTTGAGTAAAAGCTGAAATCCAGCAGGGGTGTGTGGGTTTTGCTTCCTTCGCTGCTCTCCTCAGACTCATAGATGGTGTTGTCATCATCGTGATGCCACTCGGGCCAGAATTTCCTCCTTATCCTCTCACAGTACATAGCAAGGTTGATCAGCTCACCTGTGGGGGGGCGGGGGGTAAGGAAAGCCAGGGTTAATTCTCAAAGGCAGCAGTCTCTCAGCTAGCCACTTGGCCCAGGGAATTGGGAAGAATACGGTCGGGGAGACGTTTACAATGTTTTTCCACAGAGGGACCATCAGATATTTAGGTTTTCATGCACATAAGAAGAATGGTGAGTGGGAAAAGTTAAATTTCTGAGTGGGCTGAGTGAGATTCAGGAGAGAATCTTATGGTAATGAGGGGAGGTGGGTAGTTTATCCAAAATGGCAGCTACACTACCATCATTTGGCTGCGTAAAGCATTATAATTTTATGTTTGCTTATCAAGAGAACTGGTGCTTCGATGGTTCATATTTAAATGAATTTATAGCCCGTGAAAATACACCAACAGTTGGTTGGGTTAAGTCAGCCAGAAGTAATCATTCATTTCACAAACATTTGTAGTGTTATTAAGAACTGGGTACTAGGCCAAGTAGTTGGAAAAAGTTATGTTAAGATGTGAACTTTTCCCTAAATAATCCTAAGTAAAATGGGTAACTCAGAACTGTCTATGGATGAGCGTGCCCACAGGCACATTTAGTAAAACAGGTATTTTTTTTAAATAAAACTGAACAGCTACACCCATAATTACATTCCCACTCACTGGGCTACTTCTTTTTCATGCGAATCAAAGGAACACTTTTGTTAAGTTGCTAAAACTGTCCAAGCATTTGTCTGAAACAGGACACAGAACTTGACGTTCATTTCCTAATTCCCGATGAAAAATGAAGAGAGTGAGTTTTTGCCTTTGATCCACCAGATGGCAACATTGCTTACAAATACATAATTTGTCACTATCCCTTACAGGATTTCATCGCCCTAAGAATATTCTTTGGATGTTTGTTTTTTTAGAAGTCATATAAACATCTACTTATTATATAGGTGATCCATGTTTTATTGCAGGAAATTAGAAAGTGATGGATACGCAAAAAATAAAAGAATTACCAATAATCACATCCACTGTAATAACATTTTTATGTTCTTCCAGAAATGTATATACTTATATACACACTTACATATATTTATACTTGCTATTTAGCATTTACTATATATTCTGTTTCTTACTCTACTTTTTCCCACTTAACAACCTTAATAAAAAACTCAATTTCACACTACCACCTTGATAACTGCACAGTAGTTCATTATTCAGATGTACCATAGTTTCATTTTGTTTTTACCACACCCCCTTTATGGCCATTTAGGTTGTTTCTATATTAATGCGTCTATTGATTATAGTCTTTATTTTATTTTCTATCAAAGAATGTAATACAGGGTGCCTGGGTGGCTCAGATGGTTAAGCGTCTGCCTTCGGCTCAGGTCATGATCCCAGCGTCCTGGGATCGAGTCCCACATCGGGCTCCCTGCTCCTTGGGAGCCTGCTTCTCCCTCTGCCTCTCTCTCTCTCTCTCTCTGTCTCTCATGAATAAATACATAAAATCTTAAAAAAAAAAAAGAATATAATACATTCTCATTTTGGAAAATTAGAAGTCTGTATATAAAAATGTATACCATTTAGATAAGGAAGAAAACAAAGGCATCTATAAATCTCATCAATCCAAGGTCATCACAATTAAAATTTTGGTGTAATTTATTTCAGCATATTTTCTATTTATTTATTGTCATTATTACTACTTCCTGTTACTTTGCATAACATTATTATATACATTTTCCCATGAAAATTTTTCAAAACTTGATTGCTGCTCTGCTTCAATAAAGCTGTTCCCTATAAAATGAAGCAAATCCCTCTACTCCATGGACCCTAAAAACCGGTGGATTAATATTGGTTCCAGGTCACCATTTTCAGTTGCCTCAGATCATAACAGTTCCACTCACCCTATGCAAGAGTCCATTCTGGTTGGCCCATACTCAAGGATTGTACGTACACACGCCCAGGAGCCAGAAGCCGAGGAGCCAACACCCGTGCTCCTTGAAATGATGCAGACAAAGCCTTCGCTTAGATTCTCCCACAGGGAAGCAGTCAGGAAACCCCTCACCAGGTATTGCTGCCAGTCCCAGGTAACCCAGACCCGGACAAAGCTGTGGAGGCAACTGCAAAGTTTGGCCGGGGGGGTGGGGGGGATTATGGTCACTTCACAGCAGGGTCTGGGGCAGCTGCGTTTGCCTCAATCAAGACCATTCGCTATGAGCTGGTTAGCAAGCAGCTAGAAAGTCAGAATCCATTCACAGTATCCACAGGATCTATACCATATATGGTTCTAGCCACTTCTTCTGTGGCTGTTTTTTCTACTGCCTGTTTCCTCGCTTTTCTTCCAGGAGAGCTGCCCTGCCTTCGTCCTGTGTGACATGAATACCCCTTCAGCGTGCAATAAAAATTAATAATAATAATAACAGCAAACATGCATATAGTCCTTACTGTGTACCAGGCACTGTTTGAAGTGCTTTATTCATCTGTTGAATTAGTCCTTGCAACAATCCTATGAGGCAGGAACTATTACTATCCCCATCTGTCATGGGAACACTGAAGCAACCGAGAGGTTAATTAACTTGCCTAAGGTCACATAGCTAGAAAGTGGCAGAGCCAGGATTCAAACACCCAGTCTCCCGACTCCATGCCCTTCACCACAAATCTAATCTCTCTCTCTCTCTCTACTGATGAGCCGACAGCCTGGCTTGGGAATTAATAGCTGCATACTCCCTGTCACAGAAGATTGTTCTGTAGTTCTTTTCAGGATCTCAAGAATTATGAGGAGATAGGTGCTGCCCCTCAAAGATAATGAGTTGTCAAGAAGAAGTGATCATTCTATTATGCAGTCCAGAAAGGGATTGCTTTTCATAAGCAAAAACTGGGAGCCCACATACCCATCCTCGTATCCTGCCACTGATAAAAACAGTGGAATAAAGAACGAAATTTTCTGGTTGAGTTCTACCCTGTCTGGCTTTGCCAATCCCTTCTGTCCCTGACCCACTCACCGTGCTACCAGCCAAAAGAATAGAAAAAAGTTGGCACTAGAAACAGGCTCTGTGTGTGTGTGTGTGTGTGTGAGAGAGAGAGAGAGAGAGAGAGAGAGATGCCTGTGTTAACATAAATGCCTATGTTGAAGGTGTGAACCTTGTGAAATAATAGAAAAACTGCATTTTTTTCAAAGTGTACTCAATAATCAGATTACAACTTCATACATCAAACTGGTAAAAATTAAAGTCTGATAACATCCAATGTGGAGGGTCAGGCATTGTAACTACATGTCTGGTGGAATTATAAATTGCTATAACCTTTTTTGGAAAGTAATCCAATGTCATCTGTTGAAATTCTAACTGTTGGCTCAAAACTCCACTTTTATTTCTCTATTCTACTAAAATAAAAGCACCAGTATGTAAAGATATATGTATTTGGATGTCAAGAGCATTGTGTCAGTAAAAAATAAAGAAGAAAAGAAAGATGAAAATGGCTTGAATGTCCATCAGTAGGGATTGACTGAAGAAATTATGGTGTATCAATTCTATATATTTTGCAGCTGTTAAAAGGCATGATATTCAAGTAAGTGAAAAAAGGGAGTTATAAAGTAACGTGTATAATGCAATTCCACTGTTTAGTTTAAAAATAGTAAAAACAAACCAAAACTACTATATACGTGTATGTAAATTTGCACATGAAAAAGAAAGGCACAGAAAGATTCATTCCAAATTCTTAATATTGGTTATTCCATGGGGGTGGATATTGGACATGGATGAGGGGGAAGTCATAAATCTTTTAAAATATTCCTGTATAATTCAACTGATTTTGATAATCATGTATTTTTAAATTTAAAGTTCCAATAAAGTACATTAGTGAAATACTAATGAGTGATAAGTGATATGCTCAGACAGCTTGAGAGGCTATTTATCAGAAAGCCAAATGGTCCTCGACCCAGAGGTCACTCCCAAAAAGAATAAAGAGCTTTTCTCAGAGTTTCTTCAAATGGAACTATCCCCTGCCGCTCTTTGAAAAAAAAGTGACTCATTTTATTTTCCTGTATCACTGCAATTTCTCTAATATTCAAAAATATTGTGTACAATTTGACACTGAAAACATTGTCAACCAGGCCCAGAACCCAGGGCTCAATTTCTCCCAGCTGCCAATCGTGCACAGCAGGAATGAGAGGGAGGGAGAAGCAAGGGGGGAGCCTGCCAGCATGTCCCAGCTCCCCCTGCCCAGCCCTCGGTCATTAACCGGCAAGTTTTTGGAATACATGGGGCCGGCACCCACACGAACTCATCTGATCTGCAGGCATTTACTCGGCACCTCCCTGCTGCAGACCTGTGTGAGGTGCTGGCCATGCCCGTGCTCGCTCTCTTTAGCATTCTGTCACAGGCAGGGAGGGCATGGAGCATGTGCTCTTCCAGAAAAGTTTGAAACAAACTTGAATGGTGTGATGAGGACACCACCTTCCCCTCATCTCCTGAAGCTAAAGGGTACTGACTCAGAGATCGCAAAATACAAATACCCACAGAAGTCACCTGAGCCAGCCCCTCCCCGAGCCCCGAATGCCCCACAGCCACCTCTTCCTGAACATTCCAGATGGAGAACAGTAAGTGCAGGGGTGGGGATAGACTCAACTGTTTCTCAAGGAAATCCAGCACTTGATTGAAAGGTGGAAAAAGTTATCAGTCAATCAGATAATAAGCAAGAAAAGACATCCAAGAGCAATAAATAACTGTTGGTAAAAGGGCTCCTGAATAAAGTTTTCCAGAAGCACACAGAAGGTGTGGTTGTCACAGATTCCGAAAAAGAGCATCAGGTTGTGCGGCTCTGAGGTGGCGCCACCTGGCGGGCGGACGCAGGGCACAACCGCCCGTCGGGCGCTTTTGGTCCGGTTTTCTGGGCTCTGCCATTCTCCGTGCCTGTCCCAAAGAGCGCCCGGATCCACGCGCAATTCTCTGAGAAGGACTCTCCGAACAAAATGTCAAATGTCACTCGACGACCTTGCTGATAGTAACACTGAGATTTTTTTACTGGAAAAATGGCAAAAATTTCAAAATACATATTCGATCCTAACGGAGGAATAAAATTTGAGGTGCTTTCAGACACTGCTCATAAGAAGACGCCCTGCTAAAAGTCTTTCTAGAAAGCAATTTAGCCATACAGACCAAGAGCTTAGACCTTTTGAGATAGAAATTCCCCAACTAGAAATCTGGCTTAAGGAAATAACTAGAGATAATAAGCAAGAATATATTTTTATACAATATTCACCAGAGAATATTAGTTAAAAAATTATGTGAAACAAGCCACAAGTCCAGAAAAAGAAGATTAATCACATCAATTACAATGTAGCCATAGGATAGGATATTATCCAACTACTAAATATGTTGTTTTAAGGCATATTTAATGACAAGGGAAATGGCCAGGACACAAAGTTAATTAAAACTATAGGTTTATAACTGTATCAACATCGTGATCCCAATTTTTGAAAATATACACATACATGTACTTGATGAAAGAGGAGGACACAAGCCACAATATTAACAGTAGTTCTCTGTGGGTGACAAGGGGCACAAGTTATATTTTTTAATTTTCTGTCTTTTCTAAATTTTCTCCAGCAAGGAAATAATATTTCATATATCTACATCTATAATACACAAACACATACTTAGTATATTTTAAGAATTGCTGAATATTCAACGTCTGTCATCTTACCTAAATTAAGGAAAATTTCTCACTGTTTTAGACGGCTCTGGTACACTATGTGGCTAGATATTGTAACTAATATCTAGAACCAGAAGCTAATATTATACATACACACTCACACACTTACACATGAGGCCAGGCCAACAGTGCTCTGGCTGTTCCAAAGCTAAGGCAGAAAACTGCCTGATCCAAGCATTCACGCTCCTGGATTTGAGCCAGTTCTAAAGCATACACAGGTGCTTACTTGTTTCTGCTTCTCCTTCCTCTTGTTACCTCTTGGGCAAGTCTCCACCATAGAAAGAGCAAAGGTGGAGAAAGAAGCAGAAGCCAGAGTAGAACTTTGCCTATTAGCTACAATCAGAAGCTTTGGAAGGGCATACAACCAATGACCAAAATGAGATTTAGAGACCCTCTGTGGACTTTAATGATTCATGCTACACCAGTCCCCAAGGAGAGCTGGAAGCTGCTAACTTGTTTGAGAACCAAAGTACATGCAACTATGTGCCAAAGTCCCTCGCAGACGATGGTGTCGGATTCCCCCAAATGTGTGGGTGGGACTCAAAACTGATCCTCCAAAAAGGCTGACCCATTTCTTTAAAAAGAACACTAAGTGTCTCGAGTCCTTCCAGGAAGTAAAAGTGAAAAGGGCCAAGTCATAAATAATTTAACAAAAGATTCTTCATTCCTATAAGAAGGGATTCTATAGAATTTGATAGTTCCACTCATAATGGGTACCTAAATGCTTCTGACTCATAACAGATGACGTCAGCCGTGTGTGTTAGCGCGCTTGCATGCATGTGTACAAGTGGGTGTGTTTGGGGTATATGTGTATAGAAGTAGGTGAGGAGATGTGGCAGTGTGTGTGCTCATGGGTGTGTAAGAGTGGTGTGCTAGGGAAGTGGAGGGAGGGAGTAGGAAGAAACAGGAATAGAGTGTAGATATAAAACATACCTCTAAATGAACTAAAGGGAACCAATATATTTTAGATGATTAAAATGAAGAGAAACTATTTTAAATGCTACAAATATCACCAATAAGATAACATGTTCTATTTAGGTAACTTCCAACACATTGCAAGACAAGGAACAGCTCTATGCTGTTAGTCCATACTATCCCTAGCTTCACCCAGCTGAAGTTCTGGAAGACCTTCAGTCAATGCCTGATCCATTCCAACGAGGTTTGGTAATGTATCTGAATCCCCATCCCCACCAATAGGAGAATCTGGGGAATGATTCCTCCTGTCCTTAGCCTGGTCTGAACTTCTGGGCATGCACATGAATCACACACACACACACACACACACACACACATATGCACACACAGAACTACAGCCTTCACGAACCTTCCTATCCACCCACCTGTGGCCACCACACGAGTGGTGTTCACCTGCCTCAGTTTCTTGTATGATTCTGCCTTGCTTGGTTCCGACCATCGATCCATCAACATTAAAAACATTCTATATGCTATTCACTGGTGATCTCATCTACACCCCCAGCCTTCTCAGTTGGGGCACAAATACCTTGGTCAACTCTGTCACTCCCTTTCCCAAACCCAAATATTGGACTTTGATCCCTATATCCCCAGCTCCCAGGCACTTGCTTAGGTACTTCTTCAAACTGAAGATGACTCGGGACACCTGGGTGGCTCATTTGGTTAAGTGTTTGCCTTCAGCTCAAGTCATGATCCCAGGGTCCTGGGATCGAGCCCCGCATCAAGCTCCCTGCTCAGCGGGAAGTCTGCTTCTCCCTTTCCCTCTGCCCCTAAACCCCCCCTCCCCGCTCCTGCTCTCTCTCTCTCTCACTCTGCTCTCTCTCAAATAAATAGACGAAATCTTTAAAAAAAAATTGGAGATGACTCCAAACAGTTCCCATCTACCAACACAGGAGAAGCCTCTCCCAGAGGCCCAGCTTCCATGTACATCCCACCCCGCCAGTCTGTCCACCAACATACACACACACCAAGATCTGGTCCCTAGACATCGACCCACATTGAGCTTACTTTCCCTGCCCCCTTGCGAACATGAATTTTATTCTTGGCTTACCACTCCCTCCAAACCCACACATATATTCATTCATCCTTTACGTCTGGTCCCATTCATCCCCACTTCTACCCTCCAGGCCATAATGTAACTCTGGCAGGTCTTACAGCCAAGATCATACTACAAAGATACAAGATTATGTTTCTTTGGCCAAAATATACAACAATTACTATTACTAATAATAATATTTTACATAGTATCAGACTTACAAAACATTTGTTGACACTTCCCCCATTTTTCACAATCTGGAACTTACCAGCTTTACCACTCTCAATGTATAATCTACAGATACCCACTGGAATAGGAGAAAAGAACATTTTGAATTCAAATGATATAGAAACATATGTACTTATACCTACATGTGAAATATGTAACACCAGTTCAGACTCAAAAACAGCATCTAGATGGGCAATGTGTCCATCAGCCCCGTAGCCCACCATGTTTGCTGCCGAACTAGATAGATCAGAAAGTGGCGAGGCTTGGCACCAATGTCCCAAGCAAATTAAGGAAGACCAACAAAACAAGGGAAATAGGTGAAATTTAAGCCCCGTATCAAGTATTAAGTCCACTGTGTAATACACAGTACAATTTGTGTCAACTTTGTTGAGGACACAGTCTAGGCAAGATGGCAGGTGAGAAGCCCGGTCTTCCTCAACCCCTACACATCCTGAGCATAATAAACTGACCCCAGCCCTGGACACCACAGCCTGGTGTCTCCATAAAGCACAGTCAAGTTCACAGGTATTGACCCAGAATTCTCCATTGTGTTACCCCTACCCTTCACCCCACAGCAACTCCTAAAGCCTGAAGAGGTTTGTAGGGCTTGCCTTTGATCAGCCGTTCAGGTCTTGTCCCAGGTAAGGTCCACATTGCCTGTGCCAAGTGTCCAAAGACAGTGGCGTCGAGAGTAGAAAGCTTGGGGCCCATGATGTACTTCTTATCACCTGCAGCAGACAGAGTGGAGAGGTCACTGGGCTGGCCTGCACTGCCCCACGTGGTCACCATGGCGTTCAGCACACTCTATAGGTTCATTTAACTGTGTGTCAAAAGCTTTGCAGAGTCAAAATGCATGCACCCCCTTTATCTTAAAAAAAATAGAAACAAAAGGAAAACAAATTAATTCTGTTTGGATCAACCCATACAATAGCCAAACAGGGAAATAACTGGGAACATATCAAGAAAAGCAGGTAAGGGAGGAGAGTTCATGGGGAAAAGGGAAATCTGATCACCCACAGACCTCTGAAGGCACCTCCTTGTCTCAACTCTAGTAATTAAAACTTGAGATGCTTGAGAACCTGGAAATTTGCTGAACCCATCTCAGAAGCAACCCACACCAAGCACACCAACCTCAGCACTTATTTTATTAAATTAAAACATTTCCTCAGGAAGAACTCAAGAAGTCTAGGCTACGTGGTAAGGTTTTCCATGCTGCACCATGGTCTTGGCAATGCCCTCACCACTGAACACCAGCTTCCACCGGAAGAGAAACTATGAAACTACAGGCCCCGCCCTGCAATCGGTTGACGTACAACGATGCGTCGCACTGCTGCCCCCATCTCTCCTTTTCCATCACTACTGAACTAGTTCAGTCCTCATCACCTGGACCGTCCCCTCTGACCCATTAACATTGTCCCAAGTCCATCTCCCGAGGCACTGGCAGGCACTCTGGCAAACAGAGGCAACACAGGTGGAACTGGGCCCACCTGGTTCACATCCTGGCAACACCGTTACTCAATGTGGGAGCCTGGTCGGTACTTAAGCTCTCAGAGCCTCAGTTTGCCCATCCGGAAAATGAGGATGATATTAACAGTGCTCGCTTCTCAGGGCTATCGTGAGGATGAATGGCATCATGCACATGAAGCACTTAGCACCCTATGTCGGGACCTCAAGCATTAGCTTTCATGATAGCAGCCCCTCTGTTTCTCCAGCCCATTCCGTATCCCACCTGACTTAAATCACTACAGTGCTCTTTTCACCATGTCACTCCCCTTCCCACAAATACTGTCAATGGGCTATGAAATGGGTTAGGAAAGAAAGTCCAAACTCGGAATTCAAGGCTCATTATGCTCCGCCTCCAACCCATGTTCCGGCTTTCTCTGTCGCTCCTTCCTTACTCTAGCAAACCTGGGGGACACTTCCCATTCCCACACTTCATGCTTCCCAAGGTCACATCTTTGCCCAGGCTGCGCTCACCCCTTTCCCTGCCCCCCACTATCTGTATGTGCTCCCCACTTCTCTCATCTGGTAAATTCTATCCATCCTTCGAGGTCCAGCACGAGCCTCCTTCCAAAGCTTTCCCTGTCTATTCTATCTGGTGGTAAGGGAGTCTCAGTTGAGATAGCCCTGTGTTCAAATGCCGCTATTACACATAGGACCTTGTAGAACCGTAAGGCCTTTTATGCCTACTAACCTCAATTTCTCGAACCATAAAATGGGAGGAATTGCTGGTTGTTTAGGCGAATAAGTGAGGTGACTCAAGGAGAGCACACAGCAGAGAGGTCTTCCCTCTTCTAGCCCAGTCTCCATACTGTGCTATGTGCTGGTTGGTTTTTGCTTGTTTGTGCATTTTGTCTTTTCAGCTAAATGGTAAGTTCTTTGAAAGTAAGAATAATTTCTTATTTTTATTAAGCAAACTCTAATGCAATGTTTACTACATACCAGGCATGGTTCTAAAGGCTGTACTCTACAAATATCTACCCATTTCACTGTTCTTGAGTGGCAAGCGGACAAAAATTAAGTATCTGATGACTGCGTACAAACAAGCTAGGAGAAATGGCTGGAGTTGGGAATGCCAGTTAACAGACCAACACAGCACAATACCAGCATATGGAAATGTATCAAATCAACATTTTTTACACCTTAAACTTACATAATGTTTTATGCCAATTATATCTCAATTTTAAAAATAAGTTGAAAGCAACAAAAAAACAACAAATGGAACTGGAGATTATCTTTAAAAAAAAATCATTTCTATTCTATATTCCACAGGACCAAGGAATGCCCTACAATATGCTCAACGTAACCAAACTATCTACTCTGGTGAGGACAAGCAAGTTGTCCATACCTGGACAAAAATAAAAAAGCAAACCTGGGTAAATCATTTGTTCTCAAGAGTGTCAGTTATTTTCTTGGGGTGCCTGGATGGCTCAGTTGGTTACGTGTCTGACTCTTGGTTTCTGCTCAGGTCATGATCTCAAGGTCGTGGGATTGAGCCCCGCCGCAGGCTCTGTGCTGAGGGCAGAGTCTGCTCAAGATTCTCTCTCTCTGGGGCGCCTTAAGCATCTGCCTTCGGCTCAGGTCATGATCTCAGGGTCCTGGGATCGAGCCCTGCATCAGGCTCCCTGCTCAGCGGGGAGTCCGCTTCTCCCTCTGCCCCTCCCCCACTCATGGACATGCATGCATGCTCTCTCTAATAAATAAAATCTTTAAAAAAAGATTCTCTCCCCCTCTCCCTCCCTGTCTGCTCCTTCCCACCATGCTCTCTCTCTCAAATAAATAAATAAAATCTTAAAAAAAAAAGTGTCCATTATTTCTTAATGCACCCTGCTGGCTCCATGCCTTGGCCTTAGGGCTGGCATTAGTGAAGCAGGTGGTACTTCATGGCCGGGGGACCCTGACCCAGAGTTCTTGTGCCATCCTGAGAGGGCAGAAGGGACGTGCCAGCCAGTGATCCCTATAGGACTGTGCCAGGGCTCAGCCCAGTCAAGGCCCAAACCTAAGGAAGCCCACAATGCAGAAGCCATGGGACAGTTTTAGGGACTGTGAGAAGGGCCACACACTGTTTCAGAGAGAAGAAAAACAAGACAGAGGACAGCTCCAGGAGCTTCCTGCTCAGAAGGAAAAAAAAAGAAAATGTTGATCTCCTTAATTTGATTTAAAAAGAGAAAGAGGGAGAGGGATTGTCTAAGGGAAATGCCAGAATGAAGTGTGTAAATTGAGTCTTTGTAGAACCCAAAGACTTTGGAGGCAAGAGGAAAAAATACATACGGATAAAAAAACAAAACAAAAACTTGGGAACCTAAACATAGAGCACCTGGGACCTTGATAAAAAGAAAAAAATAAATAATTAAAAATGTAATCATTTGGGGACATCTGGGTGGCTCAGTTAAGGGGCTGCCTTCGGCTCAAGTCATGATCTCAGGGTCCTGGGATCGAGTCCTGCATTGGGCTCCTTGCTCAGCGGGGAGCCTGCTTCTCCCTCTGCCTCTCTCCCTGCTTGTGCGCTCTCTGACAAATAAATGAATAAAATCCTTAAAAAAAAATGTAATCATTTGAATACATACATCAACTATGCATACAGTATTCAACCAGAATTTCCCATTTGGCATCAGAACATTAACACTGAAAATTCATGGATTTAGTTAGTAATAGAACCGGACTAAGAAGGCTGGCTCCCAGGTCTTCCGACCTCCAGCCTCAGGCTCCTTGCTCTGTGTAATAGGCCCCTTGGGTCATCATCTCAGAGATAAACACCACCTGAAGGGTTGAGCTGTGATCATTTACCAAAAACAATGCTTTAGAGAGGAAGAAGTACGGAATACAGAAAAAAAAGAAAGAAAGAAAGAAAAGAAAAGAAGTCTAGGGCTTTTTAAAGGTGCTTCCAAAAAAACTGATGGAATTTAGCATTTGTGGAAAACGATGAATGGTAGATACAAAATCACAAGTGTATACACACACAACAGTGATAAATTTAAAGAATATCAAAATATACTGTTATCGAAAAGTCCTCAAGGACCAAATGGCAGGAAGCTTTTTAAAAATTTTATTTTGAAAGGATCTTAGACTTACAGAAAAGTTGCAAAAATAGCAGAGCTCCTGTATACCCCTCAGTCGGCTTCTGCCAATATCAACGTCTTATACTATCACAGTCTGTGTAACAAACTAAGAAATTAACATTAATACAATACTATTAACTGCACTATTTTTATTAGTTTTCATATTTTATTCACATCTTATTAGTTTTTCAACTAATGCCCTTTTGTGTTGCAGGATCCAATCTAGGATCCCACATTGCTTGTAGGTGTCATGTATCCTTACTCTCTCCTCCAATCTGAAAATTCCTCAGTCTCTCCTTGTCTTGCATAACCCTGACACTTTTAAAGAATACTGGTCAGTTATTTTGTACGACGTTCATCAATTTGAGTTTGCCTAAGGTTTTTTATGATTAGATCAGGTCATGCATTTTTGGCAAGAATACCATGGAAGTCATAATGTCACCTTCTGTGATGGCTAATTTTATGTGTCCATGTGACTGGCCACGGAGTGCTAAGGTATTAGGCCAAACATAATTCTGGGTGTTTTTGTGAAGGTGCTTTGGATGAGGTTAACATTTAAGTGGCAGACTAAGTATTGCAGATTACCGTCTCTGATGTGGGTGGGCCTCATCCAATTAGTTGAAGGCCTTAAAAAAACGGGGAGGGGGAGCTGACTCTCCAGAGAGTAAGGGAGAATTCCTTCTGCCTTCAAAGGGGAACATGGGTTTTTTCCCGCCCTTGGACTCAAACTGAAACATCAGCTCTTCCTGGGTGTTGAGCCTTTAGACTGGACCCACACCCTCAGCTCTCCTGGGTCTCCAGCATGCAGACTCACCCTGCAGATCTTGCGACACGTCAGCCTCTGTAACTGCAGGAGCCAATTCCTTATACATTTTTATACTAAATATATACATCCCGAATATACACGTATATATTTACATACATTCTATTGGTCTGTTTCTCTTAGGAAACCTGACTAATATACCTTCTCAGGGCACCCTCTCAGAGGGTCCATAATGTCCATGTGTCTTATCACTGGTGATGTTAACCTTGACTGTGTGGTAAAGGTGGCGCCCGTGAGGGCTCTTCGCTCTAGTGGTACTACTTTTCCTTTGCAACTAATAATCTTGGGTGAGATCTTTTGAAACTGTATAAATATCATGTTTCCCTGCAAACTCTGGCCCACTGAT